ATATTATTACACTGACACAAAGATAAGGACACCAAGATTAGGTGCCTTCTTCTTCTCAGCCCTTTTTTTGTCTTTTAAATCCAAATCTGTGAAAGTTGAATTCTGCTCTCACCAGCGCCCTGGCCAAGCCTGGCTTTCCCACACAGCTCCTGTTTGGTTGGTATGCTGAGCTTGTGCAAGGAAACCCTCATAACTTCACTGGAGTGCAGGTAGTGCTGAGCCCCTGGGGTTTGGGAGGTTTTAAAGACAATTTAAAAACCAGTAATTTGCATGTTTTCAGGACTAGGAATGCACTGAGCAGGATTCTTCCAGGTACCTGATCTGTCTGAATTTGTGTCTTCACAGCAGCAGGTAATTCCTCAAGGGAAGCTTCAGGTCTCCTCGTGGTGTAAATTATCATAGTTCTGTTTACAGCAAAATATTTTTCTTGCTAGTACAGAACCTGGACCCGGGGCAGCCTGAATATTTCAGTGAGTTCATTGACATATATATGGGCTCATAACTGTTCTTCAGCAAAACTGAGACCTTTGGAAAAGTTTTTCCAAGTTAAACAATTTTTTTGGTCTCAAATGTGAGCCAACCGTATTCAAAGGCTAATGACCTAAATGGAAGTGGAAGCAAACAAATAGCATATGCAAAGTAAAGTAAAGAAGTAAACAAATAGCATATGCAAAGGAATAAAACTCAATATTTTTTTTGTTTTCCAGACATTACAGGTAAACTTTACTCTGTCAATAGAGCTGAAAATTGAAGTACAGCAAGATGAGTGCCATCTAATAATGCCATCAAACAACCAAACAACTGATGAGGATGTTAGCAGTGAGAAGTTATCCTAATCAAGACTGGAAAAGGAAGATATTAGGACTGGAATAACTGTTCCTATTCTATGTCAACAACAACTACAACAACAACAACAAAAAAAGTCAAACCCCCACCACTGCACAATTTTGCTACTGTTTTACTGCAGTGCAGTTCAGTAGTACTAGAAGTCAGTCAGAATAATTAGCATTAAGCAGGGAATAGTGTGGAAGGAGGCGACAGGGATGCTTAATCAGGGCACTTATCCCCTGGGGAGAAGGAAAAATGGAAAGGAAATTAGAGTGAATTGGCATCAACACGCACGCACGGAGAGAATATGGTCTGATTACAGCAGCATTCACAATTCAAATATTCACAGTGCAGCAGCTCACAGAATTCTGATCACATTAAAATGGCTGCATTTCAAATTGTGGATCCCCAGCTTAGAAAACCCAAGAATATTTGAATTCATATTCTTAATCCATAATACAAATGCACTAATGTCCTCAAAGTAAAACATACAATTTCATAAGTATTAGCCTGTGTGTTCTATAGTGTGTATGTGTATGATTAGATAGATTAGAAAGATTAAATACTCATTATCAAAACATAATGGGGTGCTTTCCCAGCGCTGAATTTTCTTCAAAAAGGCATTTTGTAACAGATTGACTTAGAAATATTGAAAGGGTTGTTTTCTGTAACAGAACTGTAGTTTCATGAGGGATGTATTTCAAACCAGTTCCCAGTGCAGGGTGATAATCCAAAGTAATTCAAAAGCATTCAGAAATTCAGAGGCTTACTTGAATTTACCACAAATTATCAAAGCACTTGTTTTTTTTTTTCCTTTTTGCAAGCAGCCCACGGAGGGTATGGAAACCTCCTTCATTTCAATAGTTCTTGGACTTCTTTCCATTCCTCCCCCACTGTAAACTCATGGCTGCCTCCCATCTTTCTCAGTTCCCTTTCTCACAAAAGCAAAACTCAGCCATATGAAATCTGGACTATATTCACAGTGGATAATTCACAAAGTTTGCAAAATAAGATTGCAAAAATCAGTTTTGGTGCCTGAGCATCAGAGGCTTTATATTTTTCTATGACAAAGATAATTTTTCCTGCATTAAAATAAAAGTAATTAATGGGGAACCATAATCAGCACATAAAATATACTTTGAAACCTAAAGTGAAGTTAATGACAATTTTGCAATGCCGGGGACACTGGGAAGGTGAATACATTGAACTCAGAAACTCATTAGTAAGCCTGTAGTGTATTTTGCTGTACTTATTTTGCAGAAAACCTCAAATCTATATGGACAGATACTTGGGAATGTCCTCAGACAGAATCACAGAATGGTTTGGGTTGGAAGAGACCTTGAAGATCATCTAATTCCAACCCTCCTGCCATGGGCAGGAACATTTTCTACTAGATCAGGTTGCTTAGGTTGCTCAGAGTTGCATCTGCAAATCTATAATTCAGAACAATGTCCAAAAGAAGAGACTAAGAATCTGACTCAGTCTGAGTTTGAGAAACAATTATTTTGTGGGGGGAAAAAAAAAAATCCCAAAGAAAAAAGAGGTCAGTTTAGTACAAAATACTTGGCAGCTCGAGGGTGATGTTTTCCTTGTCTGGGAGTATTTCAGAATCTTACTTTTCCATCTTCACACTTGGTTCCTGCCAGTACAAGACCAGGATCAGGCATGTCATCACCCAAATACACGTGGGTACCACGACAGAGGATCTTGCCACCTTCCTGAAGTGGGATATTGGTTTCTATGGAGACAGCGTTGGTACCGATCACGGGTCGGTTTGCTCCTCCTTGACACTGGATTTTTCCACACTTGGCATCCCTGATGGGAATTAAACAAAACCAAAGATCAGGTAGATAATTTTCAATGATACAAGCCCTCTCCCAGCACCATCTGTTCCTGTGGTTGTAGGGAGAGACCCTACCTGGGTTCACATTTAGCAAAGGAGCTCTTGGAGTCTTTCCCGCAGTTGCCGTAAGGATCACCGGCAGAATTGACTCTCTCGAAGCAGATCCCAGGAGCAGGTTTCGCACCTGAAACAAAACCTAATCAGAACTTTCATCTCATACAAGGTGTTCTTAATAATTTCCTTTGAGCTCCTCTGATGCTTTAGGGGAAGGTGGGATGTGAGCTGCATGCTGATGGAGCCCAACAAAACAGTTGTGCTGGATCAGCATGCTAATGGAAGAGCCTGGATGTGTGGGATTTCCACTGTTATTTCTCTCTCTTGGCAATACTGAGAGCAACACACAATGCAAAACTCAGGATTTCTTGAGATGATATCCCTCTTGTGAATCCTCCTAGGACACAAAAACTTTTAGGAGATGCCAAATCTTGCTTGGTGAAGACAGACAAAGGCCAGCTGGTGAGTTAACTCCCTTCTTTTTACAGGAGTCCATATGGTTCTGGTGAGACCCCAAAGAAAATTCTTTTCAAGAAAGGCCTGATTAAGTGCAGTTCAGAATAAGAAACCCAGAAAAAAATCCAGTTGTAAAATGGAGTGCTGTGTGTCTGTAAAGATCTGGTGACATGAGAAGGGGAAATACTCTGCTGCTAACTGAGGGTAATGGACTGGGGAGGGGAAGAGAACCCATCTCCACCTTAATCCTCAGGAGATCCACTCCTAAGAAGAAAGACTGACTTGAAAGAAGGGCCATTTCTACCATGGTGGTACAAGTAGGCATCTGGGAAGACAGGCAGCATCTGGTTCTTATCTACTGTGGCCTTTTATGATGGAGACATATCCTAATGGCAAAGGAACTTCCCTGGTGGGAGTAGGGCTGGAAATGTCTGTGCAGGCAGATTACTCATCCCTACATTTTAGAAGTTAAAGGTTACTAATAGAACATCTCTTCTAATGTTTTATACAGACAATCTGCTGACCATTTTCCCCCAGATTATGAGCAACTATGGAATATCTTGTAGGGGAAGATGAATGCCCTCATCTGGAATGTCAAAGAGGTGGAGGATCTGCTCCCCTGCTGCAACAAATAATTAGTCCATGCACGAGTATTTAATCCCTTTGTTCTGCTCTGAAGTGTGGCTTTTATTTCCAGTCAATAATTGCTGCTCCTTGCAAGATTAAGAGGCCCTTTTTTTAGGGCTCTTTACTACTCCATATTTTCTTTCCATGAAGACAATTAACAGCACAATCAGGTAATTCCCAGCATTTCAACTGCTCCAACAGGGAGACTGGCTCTGAGGAGACAAGGTGTTAAGGAGATACACTGGCTAAAATTCTGACCAGAGATCTGCTAGCTGCATTTTTGTACTTCTGACAGATCAGCCAAACTAAAACAAAAAGGACTTGGCAGCAAATAATGCGATGGCCTAAAGGCTGAGAATACACCATTTCTACAGTGTTCCTTGTCTGTAACAGAGACAGAACATCTGGTGGAATGTTACTTTTTGTCAAATGTTTTGAGCCACTTCCAAGTGTGTATGCCTCTAACTGTGGGTAAAACAGTATTTATTTAAGCCATCCTGAAGATTTCATTAGAAAGCCTTAAAAAAACCCAATCCTTTTTTTTTTTTTAAAAGGGTCAGATTCCTAGAGAAGGAAATACATATATGATTGTAAAACTTCCAGTCAGTGTGGATCTTTTCACTAATAACTCAGAGATTAAAACTTAATTAACTATCTGCATTTCACAGTCAGAAGCTTGACTAATACTATATACTGCTGAACAGCAATTTAATGTTATTAAGAACAAAATATTAAAAGTTGGAGTGGCTTAAGACAGCACTCTCTTTTTTACATACTTAAAGTGGAAAACTCAGAAAGAAAGGCACAGAAGGAACAGAATATGAGCTGTTGGTTCCCTGGAGAGAAGGACAAGAGCTTGAAATTCTTTGCAAGATTACGATCAAGCTTGCTGAGTTCAGAATATTTTTTCAAATCTGGAACTATTAAAAGGGACGCAGGATTCTTTAAATTCTTTTCATTAAACTACAAGCAATAATCAAAAAATCAACAAAAGCATCCAGACAAGGCACTGTGCAGAAAGCAAAAGTCAAATTTCCATTTTCAGCATGTAGATTCCTCCTCATCTTTCCAGTTCCATCAACTGTTCAGCTCGAGATAAACATTAACATGTGCATATACTATGCTAGCTTTGGGAGGGAAGGGAAAAAACATGCTGTGAGCTAGAGGCCAAGTAAAAATCCCTTTTCTAAAACCGAAAAATCAAAATTAAATGAAAATCAAAGTGAATGCTCATGTTCCGTGCTTTGACTGCAAGGGACATAAAGGCTTATTTTAAAAACAGTGTTAAAAGGAGAAAGGGCTCACTGAAATACTGGGAGAGTTTCAGGTATTTATCTTCCTCTTTCACCTGGGTAAACTTTTTTGCATGGTTGATTTTTTTTTTAATGTAGAAGTCAAGTGTTCTACAGATGATGGAGAGCAGCCTGCAGGAACAGAAGCACATCTGCAGCGTCCTTGCAGGGCTCAGACAGTGAGTTTTAACTCCAACCAATAACACTTGACAAGAAAAAAGATCTCATGGAGTACAAGAAAACCTCTCCCCTGCCAGGCTCAGAGCAGTGTGTGTGTGAAAACACCTGGTACCCAATGATCATCTGTGGCTTGGAAACCAAAATGCAGCCTCAATTTTTATCTGGTTTCAAACTAACACATGCTGGTGCTTGGGATTCAGATGGCTGTTCCCTCTCCTGGCTGGCTTCTCATAATATTTGGACTTTTTATAGATGAAAACATATCAGAGTGTAAGATACCGAACAGATGGAGCTACCAAGTTAAAAGGAGGTTTTCAGAGGGTGCTTAAGGAAGGGAATTGTAATGTTGTGTTTCTGGAGGAAACTCATTTATCACGATTGCACCACAGAAGCTGAAGCAGAAAGTCCTGTCTCTCTCTATTTTGCTGCCGCTGCAGACAGAGGCAGAACGATTTGTGAAAGATTTCTAGTGGTTATTAAGTGCTTTGAGCTGGATGAGCAGAGTTTATTTCACTCTGCCACTGGTAATTATAGTATCATGACCCTGTAATTAAGGTCCTGTCAACCTTTTCATGCCAAGCCTTATTCAAGGCATTAAATCAGCCATTTGAAGCTGCAGAAGGTCAAAGCTCAGCACTGCAGTTGTCAGCCTGGAGACTCTTTTTTCTCCGAATGTGTATATTGATGAGTTCACTTCTTTCCCTACGGACTTGCAAAGAAAAAAAAAAGAGATGTTGTGCAGCTTGGGAGTGGGACAGAAATGCTGTGTCATTTCAGACCTGCTGCGATGAGAAAACACCGGCAGGGGCTCCCAAAAGGAAAGAGAGAAAGTTCTGACCATGGTGCTGATTCCGAGAAACACCCACTCTCAGGCTGACGGCAGCAGAGGAAGACAGTTCAAGTCAGTTCCCAGCTGTCTGTGGGTGTGGAGGGGGAAAAAAAACAACCTCTGAGTAACAGGCTGGAATTCTGCTGCCCAGGCTGTGCCAACCAGCACCACGAGCTACTGTGCAAATAAATGCAACAATAAAAATACAGTTCTCTGCCCTGGAATCTGGATTTCATGTCATTAAGCTCGTTTTACCGTGCTGATGATGCAAAGCAAACTTTCCACAAGCTCCCCTTGGCCTCTCTCTCCATCTTGGTGATCCCTGTTACATCTATGCAAAAGCAAGATGGGGTTGAGCATTTTTTTTTTGCATTTAAGGAGTATGATGTCCCCATATCTTAAGATATTTGTTCAGAACAAAGTTCAAACAGACTTTTACTGGAATAACCTTTTTTTTTGTGTCTTGGGAATGTCCAAGGATAAGGATTTTGAAGAGGGGTGATGGAACATGACCAAACCTGAAGAGAAAGTCTTAATTCTTGTCATGTTCTTGGAATTTCTAATAATAGAAATAAACATAGAATCAGAGAGTGGTTTGGGTTGGAAGGGACCTTAAAGACTATTGAGTTCCAACCCCCTGCTATGGGCATAACCAAACCTGAAGAGAAAGTCTTAATTCTTGTCATATTCTTGGAATTATAAATTAGAAATAATCGTAGAATCAGAGAGTGGTTTGGGTTGGAAGGGACCTTAAAGACTATCAAGTTCCAACCCCCTGCTATGGGCATGGATGCCTTCTACTAGATCAGGTTGATCCAAGCCCCATCCAAGCTGGTCTTAAAGACTTAAAATAATGAGAATATCTTAATATCTTTTACTTCTCCAAAAGAAAAGGCCTGGCTATAAAACTGTGATGACCAAAATAGTTTGATTTTACTGAACTCAGATCTTTACAGTGCTTGGATAATTAGCATTTTTGCCAAACCCAGTTAACAAGGTTTGGTCAGATAACTGAGATGGGCAGCCCATGTATTTTGTCTATATAGGGTTGTACCTGGTTTGTGGCAAACCCCACAAAGTTCCTACAACAGCATCAAGTCTTTGTAACAAATATTGACATCAAAATTAAGAATGTTCCTGCCAAAACAAATGGCCATGTCTATGAAACACACTGAAGTGTGTTCTAATTATTAAGTCAATGCCTGCCTTTGGCCCCCCAAAATCATTTCTTTTTTTGCCCTTGGGGAAATATAGGAAAATGCACTGACAAACTTATTCCTTTCCCTAAAAATCATTTTCTTGTCAATGGAGAAAAAACCCATAGGTCTAAAGTTGAGAATCAATAATTTCTTTGACTTCAGTAGCTTTATCTGTGTATCTGTTTCTCTGGGAAATGCTAATGGAGTAGCAGATATCACACAGAGGCATCACTGTTGATGTGTTCCTCAGTCACACTCCTATCAATAGGTCACATCAGTGCAATTTGATATTTCTGAATATGAAACAAAAAAGGTCACAGGCAATTCCTGAAAGTTGCTCCTTAAGGATAAAAATGACATGAATTTTGGTGAGAGAGAATAGAGAAATATGAGTGTCCTGGGAGCAGACTGGAATCTCCTTGGTCTCTAAGAGGAATTTATGGCTATTTTCAGAGACTCCTCCTCTCTTTCCCACCAAGCTTTCCATGCAGAGAGGAAACAGCAAAAGATATTCCTCTATTTGATTTGAATTTATCTATTGAAAGCAACAAAAACTACCCCAAGGAAATGCAAGTACTTCTTTCTGGAAACAGGTTTCTTATTGCCCAGCCTGATGTAAACAAGCTCTGACAGTGTTCATCATTTTTCTTTAACTAGATCTAAAAATATTAAGATTGACGTTTGTCATTGGGCTTCTGGACATCTGGAACCTGATGAATAAAGAAAGATATACAAAGGAAGACCTTAACGAGGAATTCAATATACTGAATATTATTTCAGGAAAAGTTATTGCATTTTGTTCTGCATGGTTTTCTCCTACTGGGAAGAAGAAAATAAGAATATAATAAAAATGAACCGTGATCTGTTTTTTCTTTATGGGATAGAATTTTGTTTTAAAAAGCACAAAATTATTTCACTCTTTCACAGTTGTTAAAAACAATTCTAATCAAATACAACAATCTGGTAAAAGGTTCCAGTGTATCTTTTTGATACAAAGTCCAGACACAACATCTTAGAATGTCAAGTCTCTCTTTGTGCTGCAAGCAAGGCTGGAAAGACTTTTTTTGGTGTGCTTTTTTTTTTTAATCTGTACCATGATATTTTTCAACTGTATGACCCACCTACCCCTCTTCCTACTCAACCCCACATCTGCCAGTTCATACTTCAAACAGGTGTGTGATAAAGCAATGGATATTCACATCCCTAGGCTTTAAATTCAGAATATAGGCATTATTATAGGTCTTCAAGGCCAGCTTGGATGGGGCTTGGATCAACCTGATCTAGTAGAAGGCATCCATGCCCATAGCTGGGGGTTGAAACTTGATAGTCTTTAAGGTCCCTTCCAACCCAAACCACTCTCTGATTCTACAATTATTTCTAATTTATAATTCCAAGAATATGACAAGAATTAATACTTTCTCTTCAGGTTTGGTCATGTCTCATTCTCCCTCTTCAAAATCCTTATCCTTGGGCGTTCCCAAGACACAAAAAAAGGTTATTCCAGTAAAAGTCTGTTTGAACTTTGTTCTTAACAAAACATCTTTCTCATAAGCAGCCCCCCATAGCCTTGACCACTGGAGACTCCAGGCACAGCATTGCCCATACTGAACAGTCCCAAGAAGGAAGACAGGAAAGAATTAGGGGAGCCCAGGGGGTTTGGAGGACTTGCTGTGTTAGGAAACAGCCCTGGCAAGGCAACTGCAGCAACTCAGCTCCCTGACCTTTAGAGGAGTTTTTCTCAGCCACTGAAATTATTCACAGTTTGACCGAGTAACTTTCCATGGCCTGGGAAACTGGATTGGGAGCAGATTTTGCTTTATACAAGAGAAAATGTCTCTGTATCCAGGGAATTAAATATCCCAGTCTGACTGAGGCTGGAGGCTGTAACTGTCCGTGCCTGTATGAGCTCACATTAACTCTGTGTGGTGCACGTGGGACACAGAGGAGGGGATCAGATGCACCCTTTGTTCCATGTGAGGAGCTTCATTTTGAGCTGGAACTCCTCCTGAGCATGTTCTTATGCCCACATGGTCCAGCTGACCTGCTGTCTCTATCATTGGGGCTAGATCTTGAGATGCTTTAATGCTCTTTTAAAGAGAAATTGTGAATGGTCCATGTCCCTGGGAAGATAAGAGATAAGTTCTTCACTAAACTTCTGAGGAGGGTTTTGACCAAGGAAACATCTGTGTGCCATTATATTGATAAGTTTTGGAACAGAGTTAAAGGCAGAGAGATCCTGAATTGAAAGAGGCTAAAGGAGCTAGAAAAGTTAGTTTAAAACAAGTAATTAATTACATCTATCTCTAAATAATATTTCTTCTCAGGAGACGTAAAAGTGGTTTTCAAATTTGAGAGAGGGGATCAGTGAGATGCCAGAGGAGACATGAGCTGTCCACAGAAATGCAGGAGGCAACAGCAAGATACTGAATTAATACTTGCATTTCAGTGGAAGGGCCACAGGGCTTTACAAGAAGGTGAACAGTTTTCCTGGGATATATGTTCAGGATAATCAAGAACTCGTGTTATTAGATTTCTACACAAAGGAGTTAAATTTCCATGGGAGAATAAAATCCCTTTCTGCCTCAGTGCATACCCTGCTAAAAGTGCTGTCAGGAGGCAGGTTTACAAGTAACACCAGTTAATAAAAATGCACCCAATGATACAAGAGTCTCATGTAAATGTCAAATCCTGAGCCCTGGTTTGGGATGTAGGCAGACACATATGTTTTGCAGATGAGCTATTTAGAGCACAGGAGGAAGCTCACACACCATCTGAAAAGGGAGGTGATTTCAACCTGCCAAGAGCATTCAGCACTTTGTAGGGTGACATAAGGCCATATCAAAGTCAGTATAAAATGATTTGTCTAAGCTCACCTATCCATTTGCAGCATGTTGCAGAATGAGCCTAGTTACTGTTGCTCTCTACCTCCTGCTGCAAGAGACGAACACGACAGCAAATCAAGGCTAAAATGAATCACAAAGTGATTCCCTCATTATTCAGTTCTCCATTTCAGAAGAGAATAGATACAGATTGGCGCTGTATAAAATCCCTCCAAATCACATGGTTTATTTTTTTTTCCCCCCCAAGCCTGTCTGACGCTCAGCTCTGTTCTCACACTCACCTTGGCCCCAGAGGGTGATGCACTGCTGCTCGTGGGTCTGGCAGATGCCGTTGTAGCAGTACCCGTCCACCCCGTGGCACGTGTGCCCGTCGTGCAGGTACACGTTGGCTGGGCACTGAGGGCTGGCTCCCGTGCAAAACTCTGGCAGATCACAGGAATTACTGGACTCTCTGCAAGAAATCCCCGCTGGTTTTAACTGCAAAACAAACGACAACTTTAACTGCTGCACATGCGGCACACGAGCAGCTCTTTCCAGCTGAGTGCAGAGGACAGTGTAAGGGTTACACAGCTCTTTAAAGGCATTTGTTTGACACATGTTTGGCAGGAAGGAGGGTCACACTGGAACTGCAGCTGCAAACTTGGCTCACATGGGTCAGGGCAGAAGGTAAACCTAGCCCTGGTGTTTTCAGTGTGGCTCCTCCATCGTGCCTGAACACACGGGCACAGAAACACTGTGATGATCTGTAGCACTGGCCAAAAGTCAGATCAGAGCCCTCTCCATCCATGTGGCTGTAACAGCACTGCAGTGACCAGGGCAGCCAACTGATCACAGAACACTGTGCTGTGTTAGGGCTCGTGAAGTCACCAGCCCACTTGACTACATATTCAGATGCCTGATGATTTCCTGGGATGAAAGTTGGGTTGGATGATCTTGAAGGTCCTTTCAACCTCAGTGAGTTATATTTTCTCAAGGAAATGTTGCCATCATGGGCATCAAGGTCTTCTTCAACTTCAACAGAGACTCCCTCTTCAACAGAGGAGACTGAGGGGAGCCCTCGCTGCAGTTACAACTTCCTTGGGAGGGGCAGAGGAGGGGCAGGCACTGAGCTCTGCTCTGTGGGGACCAGGGACAGGACCACAGAAGCCTGGAGTTGTGTCAGGGCAGGTTTAGCTTGGATATCAAGAAAAGGTTCTTCCCCCAGAGGGTGGTTGGGCACAGAACAGGCTCCCCAGGGCAGTGGTCACAACACCAAGGCTGATAGAGCTCAAAGAACGTTTAGATGATGCTCTCAGGCACATGGTGTGACTCTTGGGGATGGTCCTGTGCAGGGCTGAGAGTTGGACTCGATGATCCTTGTAGGTCCCTTCCAACTCAGCATATTCTGTGATTCTGTGAACTTAATTACACAACAAGTCCATGTAACTGTTCCTATCCTGTCCCAATTTCCCTGAATGACTAAATTCTTTTAGGAGATGAAGGCATCTAGTAGGCAACAGTGGGATGTTCCAGCCTGAACATTCACTTCTCAACACCAGCCACAAAAGATAGGTGTGCTCTCGGAACAGCCCTGAATTTTAATCACTTTCCCTTTGGTAAAAAGCAAAGAGAAATGAAGATTGATTTTGCTAAAAAGCATTTGCTCACTGTGGTGAGCACTTGCTGCTCTGAGCTCTGAGGCAGATGGTTGCCACAGACACGATGGGAACTTGCTGAATGCTTTATTAGCCCATATGCAAGGCGTGGTATGAGAATTCAAGCAGGTAAATGCCTGTGGCAAGTTGGCTTTTATAGTATGTTAAGAGACCACAAGAGCTGATGATCTGCTATTAAAAATACATATGCTGTTGATAGAATTAATATTTTAAGAGCCTTCCCCAAAAAGATGGTTCAGCATTTAATGACTGCTTGCCATGTAAGCATGAAAAAAATCAAAGCACGCAAAAGTTCATGAAAAAAAAGAGGTTTTGCATGAGCAAATGAAGTGGCCATAAATAGCACAGACATTTAATAAGTCTGGTGATCTGCTCCTTTTTTTTTTAAAATTACTTACATGATATACAAGCGTCGTAACACTTATTGATACCAATTTACTTGTTCTCCACCCATGTTCACTGCTCTGCAGTTGGAAAATCATGGAATTCTGCCCACACCCCACAGGAAAGGAACATTTCCCAAGGTTCACCTGGCAGTCTTCACAGCAGAGTCCATGTGCACACACTGCTCCTGGTTTCAAGGTGCAGGTAGTGGCGTTACAGCACCGGTTTGTACATTCCTGGACAAATTTAGAGGATAAATTTAGAGCAGACAACCTTCAGTCACAATGAGCCCTAAATCAAGAGGCTGCCTTTAGCTCTGCCAAGAAAAGCCAGGCATGAAATCATGAATTATGCATGAAATTCGACAACTTGATCCAAACAGCCTTGTCTGCCCTTCGATTCAACAAGCCCAATAAGTGTAGTAAACCCAGAGAAGCCGTTGAGGGAGTTTGGTTTATTCCAGCTATGGCTCTAATCCCAGATGTCACAAACAACTCAAGTGCTCTGACACCAATCCTGATGCAGTACTGTGGTGTTTTATTTCCACAGAAAGCAGTGGAATGATTCCATTGCCTCCAGAGAGGATCCAGGGCCTGTGTTGCAGTTCTTGAGCATCACGACTACAGCTCTATTTTGTGATAGCTGCTCTCTGGGGCTGCTGCAGAGAAAGATGGTAACACTATTCCATGTAATCTCTTATCAGGATACATCAGTAATAGAGCTTGGAGAAATGGAATGAGTATGAATTGCAGTCTCACTGCCTGATACATCCCAATTTCACACTTATGGATTAGATGGTGCCACGTGTGGGCTTTTGCAAACTTTAGTCTCAGCAGAACGAGGTAATAAGGAGTTTCAGAAAATAATGGATTTGTTTTTCCAAGGTTATTCGCACAAGCTGCGAGTTACATCAGCTGAGCTGGAATCTCATCTCCCTAACAGAAATAGCAGCAGATAAAATTGCTCTTCAACTCTGTTAAGTCAGTTTGACTTAGCAAGGGATCACTAACAATATAGGGAACACAGGGAAAACAAGTGGGTTAGAATGATGTTCACAGCCTCTTGTCACTTCACTGGCCTCTGTAAAGCTTTCCAAGGTAAGGCAGGGCTAGCACTGCACTCAGGAGTAAAGAGCAAAATGTTTCTCAGCATTTCACTGTTTTCTTAGATAATATCTTCCTTAGATAGTGTCTGCCTGGATATACAAAGCTAACTGTGCTGCTCCCAAGCAGTGGGACAACTTCCTGCCCCTATTTTTGCTCATGCTAGAAGGCAGCAGGCTATGGAAATATTGCTGTGCAGCTGCTGCATTTAAGCACATTTTATAAATTCTCTTTCAAAGCAATCTTAAAAAAGCAGAGTGGAGGAAAGCAGTGGCAGTCTCATTTAGGTCCTTCTGAAACAGTCAGCTCCAATACCCCATCCTTTGCCCCTACCCCAGCCATGGAAAGCAATCAGCATTCCAGAGGCAGACTGGGATAAAGACACAGCTCTTTGAGTGATGTTACAGCAGCCACTGAAATTTCCAATTGCTAACTCACTTATTACTCATTGGAGGGAATGAGCTTGGTAAATAGTTTTTGTGCCTGGGCTATCAAATTGTCAGGAATGGTTTTAACATAAACAGGCAAAAAGCCAGGAAAGGCTCATGAGGCTTCGGGAAGAAAATGATTTTTTATAGAAATTACTGTTATGCTGTAGTTATTATTGTTTTTCTTATTGAAAAAAACCAGCAATGATGGGAGGGGATTTCTAGGCCTCCTGGCTCATCAGGGTAACTCAAACAGACTAATACCAAAGCAATTGTAGCATCACCTATGTGATGCCAGAGACTATCCTGTAGACAGGACACCTTGTTTTCACCTTCTCTTTTCTAGGAACACAAGAGAGAACCCATTGGGACAACCTATAGCCCTTCTCTCCTTGTTTTCCCCTGGCAGCAGCCAGCAGAAAATGCTTAAGGACGAGAAGGTGAACAAACACACGAGACACAATTACAATCTCCTGGCTTTCCCTTGGCTCCATAGGCATTTTTATCATCTGTAACAGCCAGTGAAAAGGAATTTGCACACAGTTACAGTCATGGGAGCAGCTCCTTCTGTTTGTTTGAAACCTGCCATTTTCTACCTCCCTTTGCACAGTTCTTGTCGGGGGAAATTGCTCCTCGCTCACCTTTTCCGCTTTTGCTCATGATTTTATCAGCTTCTGTCACGTTTTCCCTAATTTTCTTCTTTTCCAGCTGGAGCCCTTTCGAAATTTTGAACCACCCTACTGCTTTTCTTTCAATCTTTTTCATTCTGCTTTATCCTCCCTGAGATCAGGGAGGGGTAGGGAAAACCTGCTCATGCAGCTTCAAGCAGCAGATTTATAGAGCTCTGCTGGTGCTTTGTTTTGTTTTCCTATTTCTCCCCTAGTACTTTCTAACAGCCTATTTACCTTTTAGACCACTCTGGAGCACTGAGCTGACATTTTCATGACACTATTTATTGCAATATGAAGTCTTGTTCCTCTGTGGTCAGAGTCAGCTCTTGAGTCCATCATCTTCTTTGTGATTTTTGGAATGTGTATCACTCCTCACCGAGTCCCATTTCTCATCTTAATGCCTGGTCCAGCTGTCTCAGGAGGTTTCTCTGCAGTCCTTCACAGCCAGATTTCATCTTCTACCAGCCTAACTAATATCAGCAAATTCAGACTATTCTTCTTCCCAGGCTGTTTATGAAAATGCTGAATTGTGTAGTCCCCAGGGCACATCTCGTGGATACATCGCAGCAGATCTCCTTCCACTGTATAAAATGGATGATTTATACCTGGCTGCATTTTCTATCTTTTAAACCAGTTTTTGCCCATGGAATTTTCTCTCATCCTACAGCTGCTTAGTCTCCTAGAGAGGCTTTGGTGGAAGCTTTGGTCTAAAGCCTCTCTGGACTCCTAGCAGTGTGGCAGTGACAGCACCATCCTTTCCATCCACTTGCTAAGCCCTTCAGAGCACTGTGAAAGGTTTATGAGACAAGATTTTGTCAGACAAGATTTTGTCAGAAGAGATTTCCTGGCACAAAAGCCACATTGACTCACCCCTGGCATGTCACAGCTGTTTGGGCATGAGCTTTTAATTAAATTTGGAAGTAATTTGTCTGAGTTACTAGTTTGTAGTTCTCTGATCCCCCTTGCAGCCGGTTATAAAAGAAGCCACATTTTCACCTTTCAAGGATCAAGGATTTTTAATTCTCTTCTTTCTTTCATCTTTCCACCTGTAATCTGCACTAACCCTCCTTCCAAAGACACTGTAGCACATCAGACATTTTTGGTCATCTAATCCAAAATCAAGTTAGAATCATAAAATCATAGAATGTTTGAGTCTGAAGAGATCAAGAAATCATCCAGTTCCACCCTCTGCCATGGGCAGTAACACCTTCCTCTATCCCAGGTTGCTCCAAGCCCCGTCCAACCTGGCCTTGGACACTTCCAGGGATGGGGCAGCCACAGTTTCTCTGGGCACCCTGTGCCAGGGCCTCCCCACCCTCACAGGGAACAATTTCTTCCTAATATCTTATCTAAATCATAGAATGGTTTGGGTTGGAAGAGAACGAACCATCTAGTTCCAACCTCCCTGCCACGGGCAGGAACAACTTCCATCAGTTTTCCAGAATGATATTTAATTCTGATCCCTGATAGAATACAGCCAGTGTGTGTTATTGTTCAGCTTTCCATGCAATAGAATTCTGCAACACTATTGACAAAACTCAGCTGGTATAAATGACTGGGCAGTGAATTATTAACTAATCACACAGGTTTTCTGGAACCACTCAGATTATAGCAGTAAATCCCAAATAAATTGCGCCCAAGCTGCAGTTTTCCAATGTAATTTAAAAGGTAAAAAGATAGAAAGAGGAGGCAAACCAACTCAGGGATTGCTGACATTAAGTGGCTTTGACTTGAAAAGGTATCACTAACATTCAAAAATGAAAACAAGAAAGATAACTGGGTTAGAAAGGCATTTGCAAGCTGCTTGCACTCTATTGACTCTAAACAAGAAGATAAGCCTGTTTCCTCCAACCTTGTTACCCTCCAGAATGAGTGAACTGTCAGGAAATCCTTACGGCTTGTATAAATCCAATACACTCTATAGACAGGATGCAGCAATATCTTGCTGTTTTAAGTGCCCTCATCTCTTTTGTCTGCAGACCTGTATTTATCACAGGAAACAAATCCCTCATGTGCTGATGCATTTAATTCAGATAATCGGAGAGAGGCTCGATACGGCCAATGAGGAAGGGATGTGAAAGGGATAAGGATGTCAGCTCGGATATTATTTGACCCCCAGGTTTTGCCTCTCTCCTCCTGATCTGAGGAGGCCTCTGACACATTCACTAAACTAAATGGAATGATCTTTGAAGCAGCAGCAATCTGTTTGGGAGGCAGAAAAGGCTATTTCTGTTAGTAAGGTAATTGGCCAGTGGGAAAGAGAAATCTTATAGTGAAGGAGAGAAAGGTCTGGTGCCTAAAAGCTGAAGCTTCAATGAAAAAATAAATAGCCAGTATTAATGTTTATATTTATATAGTGTTATATATAAGGGTAATGAGGCCCTGGCACAGGTTGCCCAGAGAAGCTGTGGCTGCCCCATCCCTGGAAGTGTCCAAAGTCAGATTGGATGGTGATTGGAGCAACCTGAGAAAGTGAAAGGTGTCCCTGCCCCTGGCAGAGGGTCTAGAACTAGATGATCTTTAAAGTCTCTTCCAACACAAACTATTGTATGATTCCACAATTTCTATGGTTATATTGATATTAATATAAATATATTAGCGGCTTTTCATGGATGGAAACAAACCTTCAATTAACACATGGTATAGTGAGAAATTTGGGCACAATTTGAGCAGGAATTCTGTTCACAAATTTCAGTTTAGGTGATTAGCTCACACTTGAAGGGATTTCTCTTGTTAGGAACATGATTACCATGGCCAGTCTGCTGGACAAGCCATGAGAGGGTTTGTTCTCTAAGGATGATCCAAACACATTCTTAACTCAAACTCTGCCTGAACCTCAGCAACTCGAATGCAAGTCAAGAGACACTCCCTGCACTTCTGAGGACTCTGAAGTTTAAGATGGTGAAATAGAAGCAGAGAAGGCAGAGTTCTGTTTCACACCAGATTTAAACATGCCAGGCCAATCCCCCACTGTTAGAACCTGAGGTGGGAGGTGAGCAGTGACTCTCAGGTGGTGTCTCACCTCAGGCTCCCCGCAGTCACACTCCTCTCCATCTTCCACGTAGCCATTCCCGCACTTCTGGCCACCAAAGGACTCCTTGACCTCAGGCAGGTTAAAGAGGCACATTCCCACTCCTTTTTCCAGGCTGTTTTCCAGGTCCTTCCTGCTGCAGCTACTGAATACCATGGGAAATGGGTAGCTGGAAGAAAAATACATGGAGACAAAAGGTATTATCAGACAAAACCCCCTCTCTCCTCTCACACTGGTGACCTTTTGCACATCTGTGCACTGACCAGAAGATTGTGTTCACTTTTTATCACCCTTTAACACAAGATTGAGATATAGCAATTCACTGTAAACTGAGCCAAACCCATTTATAATGATTTCTGACTATGAGTAAGGGAACTTCCATCTTTATCACTTCAATTTGTAGCTGCTGTTAAGCACTGGGAGTGTTCACATTTGAAATTCCTTCTCCCTCTTTTGCATATGGAGTTATAATGCAAATTTTGATCATGAACCTAAAGAAATGCTGGGCTTGCAAGTAGTATTCCTGCATTTCCAGGACTGCACAACATCCTAATCCTTCTTGGAAAATTCATCCACAAATGGCAAATTCATTCATCTTGCTCTGCAGAATAACAAAGTTCCTGCTCTTTCAGGAAAAAAAAAGAAAGAAAAAATGACTGTTACTTAAAAAGAACCTGCTTCTTCAATTCATAGAAGTTGAGCTTGGGATCTGTATGATTAAAGCAAAGACAAGTCTCGTTCTAAATCATCATGACTGTAAAAGCACTACTGAAAACACCCACATTTTGAATTCCCACTGCTGAGTGCAGGATTGGGCCCTGCTGTGCAGGCACAAGGTGGCTTTGATTTCCTTTGCAAAACACACAGACCGTGGTAACAAAATGATCCTGTGTGGTACAAATTACACCAGATAATTGTTTGGGTTTTTTTTCTCTTGGAGAATTTAATTCCATCTCTACTGATAAATGTTTGCAGTTTGACTCGCAGATATGAGGCAAAGTGGCTCCTGGGTCTGCCCACCAGTGTGGTGTCCTAGAGGCTGCTGTGCCCTCTCTGCACTGGCATGGCATGGAGTCATAGAATGGGTTGGATTATTAAAGATCATCTCATTCCACTCCCTGCCATGGGCAGGGACACCTTCCACTAGCCCAGGTTGCTCCAAGCCCTGTCCAACCTGGCCTTGGACACTTGCAGGGATGGGGCAGCCACAGCTTCTCTGGGCAACCTGTGCCAGGGTCTCCCCACTCTCACAGCCAAGAATTCCTTCCTAATATCCAATGGCCACATGGTTACATGGAATCTGTATCACAACCACATTGTAAAACAACACCTCCCCTAAGGCTTGGCACCTTCATCGCTGCCAATCCCTGGTCCAGCAGTAATTCAACATTTTGGCAGCACAGGAGCCAGCCTGGTAATTTTATTATACTCACTTTACTCACTAAATGCTTTGTGTCACCCATGTGTTATTAGGACTATTATCTTTACAGACAAGCAAGGTAACAGATGGAAATTCTGCACTGCTGAACTTCAGACTTCGATTAATCTCCTGGTGTTTCTAATATCCCGAAATGAAAAGCTTGTTTTGGGGATGATGATGCCTGTAGGTATCAGAAAGTGATCATTTCTATTACAAAGAAAGAAATGTTTGACAACTCCAAATGCAATAGAGCCTCCTATACTGGCATAAGGATGTTAATTAGGATCTTCTAGAAGGTTATTGGTACCTTACAGAACAGAATTTATTTTGTGACTATTTAAAATTACCTCTTTTACAGTTCCTTTTGCAATAAAACCGCCAGCTCATTGGAAAAGAACATAAACATGACTCTGAAGATGAAAATAATTTTCCTGTGTAACTATGGGGCTTGTCAAGTTAAACTAAACAGTTTGGAGTTTCACTGAAATATGACTTCAGAAAGTTAATAGGCATCTCCACTTAAAAAGCTGATTTCTGGAAAATATCAATGATTCAGCAAAATGTCAGTCTAAGATAAATAAAGAAATTTCAGAAGAGCACGAGGTAGGAGCCAGGCTGTGAGCTCTGGGCCCTGAGGGAGAACAGGGAAGGTACTCAGAGTAATGGAACAGAAAATAAAGGCATTTGGAAAACCTCTTACTGACCATTTAATATTGAGCAATAGGGGATGTTCTTAACACGACATCACAAACTTCTGTCCTACCCTTAGTTTGATTGGAAAAAAAGCTCACAAAATTCTGTGTGAACAAGTAAATGGATGCACAGTCCTGAAAACACCAGAGAAAAATGAAGAAACTCAGACAGATCTGAGTGATAAATCCTGCTGAGACCTTGATTATATACAATCCTTATATCAAAGTATGAATAAATGAGTACTGAAGCATCCAGGCAAGATGCTTCCCTTCAGTGACACAGAGATACTTTGATATCCACTGAGGTGACACATACACAACTTGCATGGGCTGAAATCCATGCAGGAACACAAATAATGCAGTTTTCCATGTGATGTCTCTCAGCTACACATGGATTGTGAGAACAGCTCACCAGTCAAAACTGTCAACATTTTAGGGCTGTTCCTGTGCATCCATGAATGCTCAGAATCATTTGCATGGATGTGAGATGTGTCTGTCCATCAACAGGAGGACAGAATGTTCACTCTGTACCAGAGGTGAAATAGTGTCACTGCTAATGAAGGAGGTTTATGTTTTCCCCCAAAGGAACTTCAGGCTGTTTCCTATTTTGAACTCAGACACCCATTCATCTTCTGGCTTTTCCTGCTCTTGACACTGATTTCCTCAGCTGACATCAGGGCAGCACATGTTACGTGATGACACTTTCTGAAAATACTTTGTCTTTATCAAGGAAGCTCAAAATAAAGGCATACAAACCCAGACATGAACCTAACATGGAAACAGAGCAACTGAAGGGTAAGAGGAGATCCCACATCAATTGATGCCAATTGATGTTTCATTGGAAACTCGACTGATCTTTGGTGCTGTGATATTCTGATACACAACCACTCTTGGGGGTTTTTGATCCAAAAAAAAAAATAATCCCATATAACAGCCATAGCATTTGATTGTCGTGATTTTAGGCTACATTTTGGCTGTCTTTGCAATTTTAAAGCTGTTTCATCAGGAGCGTGAAATCCCTGGCAGATGGGAAGGGAAACCATAGACATCAGACACCAGGAGCATTAGGAACAATGTTTGAGTGAATCTGGGGCTTGTGAAAAATGACAAAGGAACGGTGATGTGAAAGAAACTCAACCTCTGGACAAATGTAACAAGTTTCCTCACACTACCCTGTCGAGAGGCTTCAGACCTCACCTGGAAAGAACCACCTTTGGGTGGGAAAAGGGAATGGGGACTCCACAGTAAAGTCAGTCCTTGATATGTCTCCAAGATTTCAGTAACATGCTAAACAGGGATGTTTGTGCTTTCTGTGGTAGCTCAGACATTTATCTTATTGGAAAACCCCTCAGCTACCAGCTCATAAACACCACTGGAGAACCTTCCAGAGGTAAAATATTCATTAGCAATCTTTATACTCCATTATTCTTCACTCAAGACATTTTCTTTTGCAGATCATAATTTTTTTCTGCAGTTGGAAAGAGAAAGCAAATTTTAGTCCAACCTCATTCCTATTCTGAAATGCTGAGTATCCCACACATTTTTTACACTGTTTGAATCTGTAGATCTAACACACTATGGATCATTTTGTCAAACTGTTCTGGCTGTGGGTACAACTCTACAGAACTCAAATTGTGCCCAGCACTACCATCAGTCTCTTCAATGTTTTCACAGCAAGGAAAATCATTTCAGTCTTTCCACCCCTCTGGAATCCACAGCACTCCTCGGTGTCTCATTGGTGCTTAAAAGATGTATGTCAACCCCAGCAACAAATATCCAATTTCCCAACAAAAGTAGCTTTGTCTGCTCCTGCAAATGAGACCTTTCCAGCAGTAAGAGGACCCCTGGTAATCAATTCCTTTGGAAACAGAGCCTGGTCTTGTCCCATTCATCTCTATTTCAAGCACTCAAGCCATCCAAATGCCAAGTTCCTTTATGTAGTTTTGCATTTAGCCTGTGGTAGATGGTTCCTTTCATTAACTGAGTGAAATGGCATCATCACTGTGTCAAGTCCAACTTAAGACCAGAGGATTCTTTGTACCAGCACCTCATTGCCCAGTACAGGCTTTTTTTCGGCATGAAGTATAAAAGCTCACCTCCATCAACTCCATTTCAGAGGAATTCCCCTTCCTAAGGGGCTGAGTAACCAGAGAGTACAAGCACAGGAACAGAGTCACTGCCCCAGAAAATTATAGTCTGGAGAGATGAGACAACCAAAGCATTGAGGAGAAATGGAGGGGCTACTGATCCATGCAAGGTATCCCAGCAGAGCAGCTGCTGATCCACCACTGCTGAGGCTGACGGGACATGTTCCCATCACTGTCCTTCCCATTGCTCCATCTGGGAAATGCCTGGAGGGACACTGACTTGGACTGCAGGAGATGTGTTCTCCATTCCAAATCCTACCCCTGCAGTGCAGCAACACCTCAGGAAAGTCATCTGAAGTGAAACTCCCTTGGTTCCTCCAAACATCACCTATCTACACCTTTAGGTGCATAAACATTTAGTACCTTGGATCCACCTCCTCCATGTTCCTCCCCCCATAAAACACAACTTATTTTGCTGTTTCTCAAAAAACATCACTGAAATGGTAACACCATCACTGCTTTGGTAATTCTCTGTGTGTTGCACAGGAGGATAAACCACAGGTTCACCATACCTTGACAACTAACATTTTGATTATTATGACTATCACTATCCAATCTCGTATTTTATTTCTTGTTCAAGAGCTGGAGGATTTTTCTAAAGTAACTGCCTTGTTCTCTCAAAAATGTTGATGTATACATACACACATACACTATGTGTATTTACATATCTATTTATAGGGTTAATTTATTCCAGTTCATCTCACAACCTGATTATTCAGCATTATGGCAATGTTTATACAGAGCCTTTTACCAAAAGACCCTGAAGTGTTTTACAATTATTCACTCAATTAAAATGCACAAGAGCCCCAAAGAGCTCTATTAAGTACCACCAGGCCTCCCTCCCTGAGGTAATATGATAATTGGAGATTATATTAATTTTAAAAGGGACATTTTGATTTTCTGGAGCATA